ATAGAATATAAAATACAAATAATGTACACAGACTAGTATAGGTCTGATAGAATATAAAATACAAATAATGTACACAAGACTTGTATAGGTCTGATAGAATATAAAATACAAATAATGTACACCAGACTTGTATAGGTCTGATAGAATATAAAATACAAATAATGTACACGGACTTGTATAGGTCTGATAGAGTATGAAATACATATAACAATATGACTTTACGTAACATGGTTAGGTAGGTTCTTTTAGATTTTTTGGTAAAAATAACTCAAAATTCGGTATACATAGCATTTAACAAATTAATTTATTTCTTCAATAACGGTTGCTACAGGCTACGCTCAATGATAGGCCTAATTTCACAAACAACGTTTCAATAGAAATTCCGAAAATAATATATGCTTAACGCACAAATAAACAAGCTTGCCAACAAAATCACAGACAAATAGACAACATAACTCTCATTCTTTAATTAACTAACTGACACTGAACTGAATAACTACTTAATTAGCTTAACTAATAGAGTTTGGCATTTTTTTATTGTATTCATTTTTTACTTAATATATGGAGCTTCGGCATATTCTTGTATCATTATCATCATGCTAAACTCCCTCTAGTAAATAAACATCTAAAATTAAAAATATAGCTTAAAACAATATTGACAATAATAATGGCTGGAGACGGCTTGAATGGGTAATGAAGAAACACTTTAATATAAGTTTAACATAACAGCAAATACACAACCTTTCGACAAGGTTTTGTCATCATCAGGTCGAAACGTTGTACATTTGCTGTTATGTTAAACTTATATTAAAGTTTTTCTTCATTACCCATTCAAGCCGTCTCCAGCCATTATTATTCTCAAAGTGGGTTCCTCGTCATCGAATATTGAGAATAATTTGAAATTTCATATATATCAACATTTGATGTTGTTGTTGTTGTAAGTGTATGCTGTAACATTGTTCTCTCGCTGGAGGGTATTTTTAGATTATCTGGGGAAAATCCACCTAATGATAACAAATTAGTTTTATTTCCTGTTTAGTTTCTTTACAGACTTTTACGCTTTGTAACTTTACATCCACGTTATCTGCACTGTACTAACATAAAAATCAATTTACATGTACAAAAAGTAACTCAATACGCGCGATATGTAACAGATCAAAAAACGTAAACAAACTGACTGTTTCACGCTAACGGCTAAAAAAAAGACCTTTCTATCTTCTTGATACTTCACTTTTTCACCGCAAGCTTTCATACCCATTTGATTGATTCACCCGAATTTATAATCGAATCCTTGTTCTAGTTATTTCACAAAGTTTCTCGTTCATTAATATTTCCGAATATTTAAGATTATCTTGATCTTAGCGTGTTGCGCCCTCTAGCTATCATCTAAATTACAACATAAACACTATATCATATAATACTATATTTGAAATGTTTTACTTGAGACGTTTACTAGAGGGCGCATAATGTTAAGAGTAGTCCTAGAATACCAGAAAGTTAGAGAATAATAATCACATCAACAATTTAGAAACTTCGTCTAATATCTCGAAACTGGATACATTCCAGAAAGAAGGATCAGTGAAGCATTGGGTTTCAGTTCTTAAAGTTCCAGTCACAATGAAGTGTTTAATGAGGAAATATTGAACATTCAGTAAGATTTGTCGCATCTGTTCTGTTATTGAGTAACTTGGTGAGATACGTGTTTGTTTATCTAACAAGTGATGTGTAGTTAGATCCAACAATTACTGTCAATACCAACAATAATTGTTGGATCTAACTACACATAATTTAGTATTAACAATAATTGTTGGATCTAACTACACATCACTTCATTTGTTATCACATAATTTAGTATTAACAATAATTGTTGGGACTAACTATACATCACTTGTTATTAACAATAATTGTTGGAACTAACTATACATATAGTTAGTTCCAACAATTATTGTTAATAACAAGTGATGTATAGTTAGATCCAAAAATTATTGTTAATACTAAATTATGTGTAGTGAGATCCAACAGTTATGACGTATAGTTAGATTCAGGTGTTATTGTTTATACCAGATGACGTGCAATGAGATCCAACAGTTATTGTTTATACCAGATGCCGTATAGTTAGATTCAGCTGTTATTATTTATACCAGATGACGTATAGTTAGATTCAGCTGTTATTGTTTATACCAGATGACGTATAGTTAGATTCAGCTGTTATTGTTTATACCAGATGACGTATAGTTAGATTCAGCTGTTATTGTTTATACCAGATGATGTGTAGATAACTCCAACAGCTATGATACGATATTTTCAAAACGTGAAGACATATATCCCACAAAGACTAATATTATCTTCATGAGTTTATGATAACTATATTTGACTGTGAACAACCTTCTGTTTCTTAGTGTAACAACTGAATCTCAAATTATAACAAATCTTTTGGCTTGTCCCTGATAAATACAACCTAAATTATAACAATTATTTCATTTTGATTATAAATCGTTGTCTGTGAATTTACCATTACAACATTTTTCTGGACATGCGCCCAAGTGATTCTATAGTGGTGGAATTTGGCATTAAAACAGACTTTCTTAAAGTCTGTTTACCGAGTCAGTTTGTTGTTGTTCTTAAGTTTAGGCGTGATCAAGGTTTGACATTATTGTACGTACCAGATGCGCATTCTCTGATTATTACAGTTTTAATATTTAATCCTTAATCCAACACTAAATGGAAATATAAAGAAGATGTATTAATAGATGGAAATTAATAGTAGTTGACGATGTTACTACATTCAGTACTAAAAGCATTGTTTTTGAAGATGTTACTACATTCAGTACTGAAAGCGTTGTTTTTGAAGATGTTACTACATTCAGCACTAAAAGCGTTGTTTTTTAAGATGTTACTACATTCAGTACTGAAAGCGTTGTTTTTGAAGATTTTACTACATTCAATACTAAAAGCACTGTTTTTGAAGATGTTACTACATTCAGTACTAAAAGCGTTGTTTTTGAAGATGTTACTACATTCAGTACTGAAAGCGTTGTTTTTGAAGATGTTAATACATTCAGTACTG